CTGTTGCAGACTTTCATGGCATTTGGACAATGGCTATCAAAGGTACAATGGCAGGTAGAAAATGTCTCAGTAGCTGCTTGAGGACAGTCTCTACCCTGGTGCGAGCATAGCAGAAATATAATGTTAAACTGCATCTGTTGTAAACTTTCTTCCTCCCTCCCCTGTCCCTGCCCCTCATAATTATATCTCACTTTGTCTCTACAGAGTGCATTAATCTTCAAGGATGTGAAGCTGCGTGGGTTTTGGATGACCCAATGGAAGAAAGACCAAGCTCATAGTAAGTTGAAAATCCCATCAGCCTGTGGGGATGCATGCTGGAGAACACAACTAGTCACTAGCCTGTGGGTATTGTGTCAGTACTGCCCAAACAAGCAGTAGGCTTCTACCAAGCCTTCACAAATCACTTGGTAGAAGTCCTGTCACCTTGGACAAGTTCTGGAAGGCATCCCATCAGCATGAGGCTAGCTGGAACGTAACCAGGCTGGCTTGTGGGCCGAGGTGGAGACACCTGTGGCTTAAAAGGCCAGGAGGCATCTTTTTATATTCATGTTTAATGCTGCATGTTACATTCTGATACACCCATGTTAGCAGGTAATAATCTGGCAGGCTATGCAGCCCTTGTTGGGCCACATTCAGGCTGGGCGTAACAGCTTATTGGAGTCAGTGGGAAATCATCAGTTGAAACTAAATTTGAGTTGGTCCAATATCTTTGCTCATTCTGCACTGAAGGCTTTATACAGGATTATTAACTTTGTCGTCCCTTGGTCCCAGAACTTCCTCCTGCCACACCAGGCACTTGCCTTCGAGCAGTGCACAAGCAGTTACCAGTTCTCCCAGATCCTACCAAAGATGCAAGATAAGCATCACTCCTGCCTACATGTGTGAGGAAGCCAAGAGAAACCTGGAGATGTAGTAGTTAGACAGAGGGGAGCACTCAGAATTTCTCACTCTGTCTGCCTTGAACAAGTTCATTCTTCTCTTATATCCCAGTTCTTAGGGAATGGACTATGAGCACAAAGCCAGAATGGACTGGAGAATAGCCAGTTCACTCTAGCAGATGCTTTCATGGGGAATACATGCAAAACTGTTCTCAGCTGTTTCATGTGAAGAGTAGGTAAATGTGTACTTGGATTTCTAGCTACCAGTGGTAGTAAGTGGGTGGTGACTGGTGACATATTGACCTGGAAAAGTTCTTTTTGAACCAGCAGAACATGAGCTGTATTTCCCTTCTGTGCCCTTCCACGTAATGCACAGAATCAGCTCTTTGTACTGAATCATGTGCCTTTGGTCCAGAAACCTGATGACCTGCAGTATTGGGCTTAAATAGCTGAGAGGGGTCAGGCCCCAGCTGCTTAGCACGTGTTGGAGTTTAGAAAAAAGCCAAGTATTTGGCATCTAACTTGTTTTGGGAGTGGAGAATACTGGTCTTTCTGCTTTGAGACGGGATAGATGTTGCCCTAAATTAAAAGTAGCCTCTTCTAGGGGGTTTCCGGCCCAATAACATGGGCCACATAGCTGAATAGAAAGTAACGTTTAGTGTAGTGAACAAGGCAGCCCAGCAAAGAGGTTGCCAGCTGCCCACCTGTAGTGTAACACTAAACAGCTAGAGGAACTCAGGGACTCCTTACCCTCGCATCAATACAAATCGGGTGTCCAATTTGACAAGACTCCCCAGTCTTGTGAAGGCTTCCACATCTTGCTGACCTGTATAAACAAGATGCAGGTATCTCAAAAACAAATGAATGCTGCACATGTGGAAGGAGTTACTGGAGGAACAAACCATTTGGTCCACCTCAGCCTGCCAGAGCTTTAAATTGCTTCCAGGCTATTGATTCTACTGCTAAGGATGGTGCTGTGGGTGAGCTCTGGAAAGAGCAGGATTTAGCATGTTTTCTGTTTGTTTCCTTTACAGACAAGGACAGACTGACTGGAATGATTCAGACTTTGTGTGATCTTATTCGTAAAGGGCAGCTCAGTGCTCCAACCTGCACAGAGATTCCACTGAAGGACTACCTAATAGCCATAGAGGCTTCCATGAAGCCATTCATCTCAGCGAAACAGATACTTGTTATGTGATCTTCAGCAATGGAATATCATCCTTGTTTCCAGAGGATTTTTAAGAGGGGGCTGAATCATAGTCAGTTCTGGTCATATCAGAGACCCTGTAACTGGCTCCCAGCTGGTTTCAGGGATGTTGCATTCAGTGATCTTGTCTCCTGAAGAGGAGGAATCTCTAAAATTTGTCAGTTGAGTTCACTTGAAGAGTACAAAAACCCACTCTGAAATTTTGTGTGCACTGAACATGATTCTTGGAAGCAAATTATCTGTTTTTGGAGCTGAATGCTGTTCTTTCCTCAGCTGAAATTAGTTTCATTGAAATAAAGTCAGTAGTTTCTAAGGAGCAACCCCAGGGATCCTAAAAATGTGAAGGGAAAACCAATCCACTCCTGGATTATTGCTTACTGAAATTGGCAGTCAGCAAGGAGACAGATAGAAGCAGGTTTTGCTGGTTGTGCATCTTCACCTACTCTGGAAAGCAACAGGGCTCCCAGGAAATTGTCAGTGCAACCTTTTAGTATAAAGTTGACCATCCCAGAGCATGCCATTGGCAAGGAAGCCTCTCTTCCTTTCTCCATGGCTGGTTCACCTGAAGATACTTCCAGAAATGAAAAACTGACCTGGGTCAAACCCCCATGCCATCATCATATACATTACTTAGCAGGGGGACTTCATCTATAATTTGCTAGTAAGGTCAGAGCTAGAGGTGCACTGATATACCAGTCCATATCGGATCAGCACTGATAAAAGGAAAATTAATAATATTGGCAATCAGCTTTTGTTGGCCAATAATGTCACCGATAAATGTCGCATGCATGCACGTGTCCAGGAATGCAGCCCAGCAGCTTGGAGAGCGACCTCCTGCCAGTAAGTCTGTGGTGGGGAAAGGGGGCAGGGGGCAGTTTGAAGCCCCCATGGTGAGGGAAGGAGTGGGGCAGGCACTGGCCAGCCAGAGCAGGACACAAGATGGGGGCAGCTTGTCTGGGAGGCATGGGTGGGGGTGGCTTCCCACTGCTGCAAGTGCCCCCCTGGATTTGTGCACAAGGTGAGGGCAAGCTGCCCACTATGGGGCCAGTGGCTGTGCTGGCCTCTTCTTGGCAAGGGGGCTGGGCCAGGGCTGCTGTCAGGGTGGGCAGTGCTGGTGCTAGGAGAGGTGGTTACAGGGAATTTTGAGGTGCCCATAGCCACCCCTCCCCAGTGCTGCCACTGCCCCCACCTGCTCTGAGCCCAGCCCCTGCTCCTCCCCCCTCTGCCTCCTGTGGAGAAGAGGCCAGCACAGCCCCTGGCCCCAA